GTGTCAACCCTCCACCAGCATCTGCCGACCTTGCCGACTGTCCCGTGGGACAGCAGATCTGTCTGGGCCTCGGGCCGGGCACGCAGAGGTGCTGTTGCATGCGGCTGAGCGGAGGGAAGCCCGGGACGGCAGGGGATCTTCCTGGGGTGCCAGGTTTGGAGCTAACTTGCCTTGTCCTTTGTGCCCCAGGTGCTGCTGCTTCTTTAAGAGGAAACGGAAGAAGACGGCTCAGCGTCACAAGTGACCAGTGCCTCCTGGGCCTTGCAGGAACCGCCGCGCCTGCAGCTCCTGCCCTGTCTCACTGGAAGGGGCTTCTCTTTAGGGGGGAGGAGGAGGCATAGGAGGAAGAGAGGAAAAAAAAAAAAAAAAAAAAAAAAGGAAAAAAAAAAAAAGTGACATTTTAAACCAAAAAGAGAAGAAAACGTTCCAAAACAAACCACTCTGGGGTGGATCTGCTGAATGGTCTCCCTCGTTCACTCCAAGCCTGAAGCTCCTTTTGGGACCAGGACTGTGGCTGGCTCAGGTCTTGGTCGCCCTGGGAGGGGGGCTGGCTGGCTGACCCTCCTTCCCGTTGTTTACGGCGAAGGCATCGTTCACGCAAACCTGAGGACTGTGCTTAGTTCCTGCTCACTTTCCTCCCCTCCCTCCCCTGCGCTCTCTGCTCCTCCGTCCTCCTCCCTCCTTAATTAAGCGAAGAGATACCATAGGCTCGGTTGGCTGTCGAGAGGGCAGGAGGATGCGGTGCAGGCAGGAGAGTTGCGTGGGAGAAGGGCCTGACTGCTGCAGCAGTAAGAGACAGGTTCCCTCTTCGGCTCCTTGGGAACAGTTACACTGTAATGTGCAAGCTGTGAGAAATTTGCAATCTACTGTTCCAGTTAGGTTTTTTTTCCGGCTCCCTTGACACCTCCCTCCTCTGACAGTAACAGAGCAATGTGGATTGTTTTAAAGAAGCTGACGTCGTTGCACTTTTTATTATTTTTAGCATTTACAGATGCACATTGTATCTGTGGATCGCTGCGTGGCCACGCGGTGCCAGCGCAGACAGACATTCAGCTGGGAAGACGGTGGGGTGCAAAGAATGCCCTCGAGTGGGGATGTCAGCGACCTCCGCGCGGCCCCCGTGCCAGTCTGGGGCTCCCGACACCCGCCTCGGGCCACGTGCTGAGGAAAGCATACTTGAATTTTCAGTCACCCTTTCTAGCTGCCAGTGAATGTCCCTACCATGGTTTCCTACACCGTGCCTGACCCCACTGGCCACGAGCCACAAGGCTGTAGCCCGGCGTTGGCAGGAGGGAGCAGCGTCAGCTTGGCTGAGCTGGAGGAGTTTGCGCTGGCTTAAGGGGTAGATCTGGATTAAGGGAACTGGGAGGCAGCCGTCTCCCAAAGCGTAGGCGTTTCTCGGTGTGGGCAACCGGGCAGCCTCCTCAAATCCCTCCGGCAGGGTGGTTGTGAACACGTACCTTCTGCGAGAAAACACTACCAGGAGCAAAGCTTCCCCGGCGGGGGAGAGGATCCTTCACTGCCTTAACACTGATTTCATCTCCAGATGGTCAGATAGGTTTGACTGGAATAGCCTTCACATCCTCTCTGCGAGCGTGGGTCTGGGGCACGTGGGATTTCATCCCACCCCACAGGAGAAGCCACGGTTCTCATGCGCCACTTTTGAGCCAAACCAATAGCTAGTAAAGGGCTTGGGGCGCTTTGCACACATATTAAAAAAAAAAAAAAAAAAAAAAAAAAAAAAAATCTTGCATCCTGCTGCAGCGTTTCCGAACTTGGAGGAGGCTGAGGCTGCTTGGGGGTTACCATAGATGTGGCTGTGGGAGAACTCGAGCAGCTTTTAGGGAGGTTGTGAATAGGTTCCTTGTACTTTGTCTTTCCATGTGTGACACCTGACCAGGCTGGGACTGTTCACTTGAGAGACTTCGCTTGTCATCAACTCGTGCCTGGCTCACCCCAAAAATCCCGGAGAGTGTGAAGGGAGGAAAGGGAGAGACTAGATCTCATTATCTTTTATGTTTTTTAATGATGATCTGTGTAGCTTGGAGTTCGTGGAGCAGCACTCCCGGGAGGTTTGGTTCCCCTGGCTGGGCAGAAGTGGGCTTGGAGGGCAGGAGAACGCCCTGGGCAGGGAGCTTCTGGGCTGGCTTATCGTGCATGGCCGAGGCAGGCAGGGTGGAAAAGCCCCTCTCCCTTGCCGGGACCCGTCTCTCCGCCATCGGCCGCTGCGCTCTCTCCATGCCTTATCCCGACGAGCGTGGCTCGCAGGCGCAGGGCTCTTTGCCGGGAGGTGTGTGCACCTTCTCGCTCTGCAGAGCGCCGTCCCCAAGCCGTACCGCGGCAGGATGGGGCCGCTCCCCCCCCACCGCACCCGCCGGGGCCCTTCGCCCACTCGTCCCCTCCTGCCAGAGGGAGGACGAGGACCGTGGCCGCCTTCCACCCTTCTCTTTCCAAACTCCTCCGCTGCCGGTGGCTCCCAGAAGCCCGGTGTCTCTGGCGCAGGCGTTCCCCTCTCTGCTGTAGGAAACCATGGTTTGGCGTCTTGGGAGGGGGGGGAAAGGGGCACAGGCGCTCCCTGGGAGCGGGCCTGCCCGCTGCAGGTGGAACCGGGCCCTGAGACACTTCTGTTGCTGCCCTCCCAAGCCCCACTAAGTGCCTGTCACCAGAACTTGATTCCTTCTGCATCTCCTGCCGTGTTTGGTCGTTCCTTGCTGCCTCCGGTCAAGGAGGAGCTTGTAGTTGCAGCATATGTAAGTGTTTGCAGGGTGAGGGAGGGCTGGGGGGGAGGGAAAGGGGCCATCTCAACAGTTTTTGTTCTTAAATGGGATTTTGTTTGGGTTTTTTTTTTGTTTTATTTTTTTTTTAAAGTGAATGTATTTGATTGTTTAGAAACTTTCCTGACCTTGTTTTTAAGTGGGTTGGTTTGAAAGCTATTTCACGGTGACCCACTACGGCTTCTCTCTGGAGATACAATGTTCTTTTAATCCTAGGATGATGTGTTTGTAGGGGAGGACTGTCCCCCCACGGCATGCTGGTAATGCTCACTTGTACCAAGCCCTCTTGCACTATAATCGTACGTTGGACTCTTCAAAAGGGCAAATATGTGGGGTGGCTTTTTTTTTTTTTTGTTATTAAAAAAAAAAAAAAAAAAAAAAAAAAAGGAAAATAAAAGCAGGTTAACAGCAAGTCCTGTGCTTGAGGAAACCGCTGTCCCCAGGGAGCTCGGAGGTGACTAGGAGACACAAGCCAGACTGAGCCAGCCGTGCTATGGTAGGAAGCAGGGCATTAAGCCTACCTGGGCCAACTCTCCTCTCCTCGCCGGAGGTCGTTGGCGGCTGGGAGACCCCAGGGGCGCGAGGGGAGGGCGCTCGGGGGGCACCCAGCGCCACGCTGGCCTCCCCGATGTAGCTCTCCCATGGCGTGGCCCACCAGTGTTGTGATGCAGTCTTCTGAGGTATCAAGTGAGATGATTATTTTTTTTTTTTTTCAATAAAACATTGCACTGCTGCATTGTTCTCCATGAATAGATGTATTTGTTACCTCTCCCTGACAACATCACTTGTATTTTTTCTTCCTTGCTTCTGTTGAGCGCTCTTGGTAGCCCTCCTCTCCTGTGAGAAGCTCTTGGTAGCCTTCCTCTCCTGTGAGCCCTCCTTTGAGGAGGGGATGATGCGCAGTGTAGGATCTTACGAGGACCTTCTCAACACTACAACGGACATTTCAGCCCCACAAAGCTTGGCCAAGGCATGGTGGCACCAATTTCTCTTCTCCTTGTGCCTGCACATTCCCGCTTCAAGCATCCCGGGGAGCAGGATGGCTAAACCGCTGATTACTTGGAACGCAAAGCTGCGAGCCACCCCGAGACGGGCCCGTGTCTCTGGAACAGCAGCTGTAGGCATCGAGCATCCCTTCCCCGAGCTGAAGGGCACTGCCTACGCCCGTCTGCGGGCCGAGGGGCTTCGCCTCCAGCCGAAGCGACCACCAGCCAAGTCCCTCGGCGCCGGCGGTGGGGCCAACCGCTGCTGCCTCGAGTGCCGCCTGCCGCCGCGCACCTGCCGGGATCTTGCGTGGAAAGATGCATTCCACGGAAGCCACCGCCAGGATCGTGAGGTTTCCCAGCGGGCAAATAGCTGCTGGTTGGTTATTCTCGGTGCAGTGGAAAGCATTAAAGGAGATGGCGCCTGTGAGCCAAACACAGCACCTTTTGAACGCAGCTTTCGCTGTATCTGGACAGGGAGAGCACCTGCGGCACGACTCCTGCTCTTAGGAACTACTTCACGCTGGGATCTTTGCTGGGACGTTTTCCCACCTTTCGTTTCCTGGCCTTAAAATGTAGTATTTTTAGCATGAACTTTCAATTCCCATTCCCAAAACTTGAGCCTTGAGAGCTGTGCTCTGAGACGGAAGACGAACCTCAAGGTTTCTTTCCCTGGCCTTGGAAACGTGCATCCACACCAGGCCCTTCCTCTAAAGGTTTGTATGCTGGGTGATTAACACCGACCAATATCTATTCGAGTAGCCGTTAAAAAAAAAAAAAAAAAAAAAAAGTAATTCCCATATATTCAACTAACTCTGGTATTTGTAACGACTGCGCTGAGCCGGACACCGGCACCTGCAATGCCCCAAACCCTCCTGTGTGCTTCTAGCCTGGCCACACCGGGTATTTAAGAAATTTGGGGCTCTCTGGCGACGGCCGTTGCCTAAAGCGTCTCTCGTTGACGACAAGGCTCCATCTTTGTCCCGGGGATGAGGCGGCAGCACCGATGGCGACGCCGCGCCTCCCCGCCGCCGGCGCGCGCCCCCTCAGCGCCGGGCCCGCCCCCTCGCAGGCCGCCGGCCGCGCCCATTGGCCCTTCCTCCCCTCTCCCCGCCCCCTCTAGCCGCGGCGGCCAATCAGCGCGCAGCCCATGCTCCCGATTGGCCGCGCCGCGACTGCCGAGCGAGGGGGCAACGTGGCAGCCAGCGGGCGGTTCGCGCCGGCGCCTCCCACACACCCCCCCACCCCCTTTCCCGGCGGCCCGTTGGTCGCGCCCGGGCGGCTGGAGCGGGCGGGGAGCGCGGCGCGGCGCGGGGCGTACCACTGCGCGGCGGGCGCGGGGGGGGCGCGGCGGGCGGGGCCGGATGCAGGCGGCGCGGCGGGGTTTGTGGCCGGGCTGCGAGCGGCGGAGGATGAAGGTGCTGGTGGCGGCGGCGGCGCTGGGCGCTGCCCTCCTGCTCCTGCTGCCCGCCGCCTCGCGGGCCGACGAGCGCAAGAAGGGGCCCAAGGTCACCGCCAAGGTCGGGGGGGGACCCGGCGGGGACGGGCTGGGCGGGCCCGGCGGGGTGGGGAGAGGCCTGGGGGGGGGGGGGGGGGCAGCGGGACTGGGGGGAGCGGGGGGAGGGGGGCCGGCTGAACTGGGGGGACGTGGAGGAGGGGGGCCGGCTGAACTGGGGGGACTGGGGTGAGGGGGGGTCGGCTGAACTGGGGGGTTTGGGGTGAGGGGGGGCCGGCTGAACTGGGGGGACTGGGGTGAGGGGGGGTCGGCTGAACTGGGGGGTTTGGGGTGAGGGGGGGGCCGGCTGAACTGGGGGGACTGGGGGGAGGGGGGGCCGGCTGAACTGGGGGGTTTGGGGTGAGGGGGGGTCGGCTGAACTGGGGGGACTGGGGGGAGGGGGGGCCGGCTGAACTGGGGGGTTTGGGGTGAGGGGGGGTCGGCTGAACTGGGGGGTTTGGGGTGAGCGGGGGTCGGCTGAACTGGGGGGACTTGGAGGAGGGGGGCCGGCTGAACTGGGGGGTTTGGGAAGAGGGGGGGCCGGCTGAACTGGGGGGACTGGGGGGAGGGGGGGCCGGCTGAACTGGGGGGACTGGGGTGAGGGGGGAGGCAGCTGAACTGGGGGGTTTGGGAAGAGGGGTGCCCGGCTGAACTGGGGGGACTGGGGTGAGGGGGGGCTGGCTGAACTGGGGGGACTTGGAGGAAGGGGGGCCTAGCAGAACTGGAGGGGACTGGGAGGAGCGGGGCCAGCTGAACTGGGGGGACTGGGGTGAGGGGGGGCCGGCTGAACTGGGGGGTTTGGGAAGAGGGGGGCCCGGCTGAACTGGGGGGACTGGGGTGAGGGGGGGTCGGCTGAACTGGGGGGTTTGGGGTGAGGGGGGGCCGGCTGAACTGGGGGGACTGGGGTGAGGGGGGGTCGGCTGAACTGGGGGGTTTGGGGTGAGGGGGGGCCGGCTGAACTGGGGGGACTGGGGGGAGGGGGGGCCGGCTGAACTGGGGGGTTTGGGGTGAGGGGGGGTCGGCTGAACTGGGGGGACTGGGGGGAGGGGGGGCCGGCTGAACTGGGGGGTTTGGGGTGAGGGGGGGTCGGCTGAACTGGGGGGTTTGGGGTGAGCGGGGGTCGGCTGAACTGGGGGGACTTGGAGGAGGGGGGCCGGCTGAACTGGGGGGTTTGGGAAGAGGGGGGGCCGGCTGAACTGGGGGGACTGGGGGGAGGGGGGGCCGGCTGAACTGGGGGGACTGGGGTGAGGGGGGAGGCAGCTGAACTGGGGGGTTTGGGAAGAGGGGTGCCCGGCTGAACTGGGGGGACTGGGGTGAGGGGGGGCTGGCTGAACTGGGGGGACTTGGAGGAAGGGGGGCCTAGCAGAACTGGAGGGGACTGGGAGGAGCGGGGCCAGCTGAACTGGGGGGACTGGGGTGAGGGGGGGCCGGCTGAACTGGGGGGTTTGGGAAGAGGGGGGCCCGGCTGAACTGGGGGGACTGGGGTGAGGGGGGGGGCAGCTGAACTGGGGGGACTGGGGTGAGGGGGGGCCGGCTGAACTGGGGGGTTTGGGAAGAGGGGGGCCCGGCTGAACTGGGGTGAGGGGGGCCCGGCTGAACTGGGGGGACTGGGAGGGGGGGGGCCCGGCTGAACTGGGAGTGATTGGGAGGATGGGGGACTGGGAGGATGGGGGCCTGGCTGAACTGGGGGGACTGGGAGGAGGGGAGCCCAGCTGAGGTTGGGGGGAGGGACACGCAGCTGGGGAGGTGGGGGAGGCCCGACCCGGTGGGCTCAGGCCTGGCTGGACTTGGCGAGTCAGACTTGGGGGGTGGGTTGGCCCAACCAGGCGAGGTTCCACTGCTGCCCCCCTCACCCACCTCCCCCCCCCCAAGGTGTTCTTCGACCTGCGGATCGGGGAGGAGGATGTGGGCCGCGTTGTCATCGGGCTCTTCGGCAAGACGGTGCCCAAGACGGTGGAGAACTTCATGGCATTGGCCACCGGCGAGGTGAGGGGCCGGTGGGTGCCTGGATGGGCCTCAGCCAGCCCCCCGGGAGGCTCCTGCTTGGCTCCCAAGACAGAGCCTTTGCCTCATTCTGTTTTCTCCATCCTCACCCCCAGAAAGGATTTGGCTTCAAGGGCAGCAAGTTTCACCGTGTGATCAAGGACTTCATGATCCAGGGAGGAGACTTCACCCGTGGAGATGGCACTGGAGGTAATTTAGCTCACACCAGCCCGAGGATCCAGCCGCTGACTTGAAGCAAGACGGAGGCCACGCTTCCCAACCCAGTGCTGGGTTGGAACCCCAACGCTGGGGACCAGTGTGGAGCTGGTGCCACAGTGGGAAGGAGTGGGCACGCAAGGAGTGGAGACCTGGCCAGGAAGCAGAGCTCGGTGCCGGGGAGGGATGGGCGCAGGGAGGCCGGGCGGGTGGTACCTGAGCGTTCCCCGTGTAACGGTGCTCTCTGCCCCGGGGGGACCGGGAGCTCCACGGTGAGAAAACTTCCCTGTGCAGCAGCTGGTGCCTCTGCCGGGCATCCTGCAGCAGAGTTCAAACCTCCCACCAGCACTTAGCAAACGTTAGTTAAGTTGATGATATCGGTATTTAGGCTTGTAAACTTGTGTCCAATCTGCTCTCACAGCCTCCTGCTCCGGTCCCTTGGGGGTGTGACCCCTCCTGCCCAGCTCACAGGGTGCTTTCAGCTCCCTCCAGTACCCATTGGCTCATGTTTCCCCGCAGCCCTGCGGTGCTGGTAGTTAGTCCCCCTTCCAGATGCGCTCATTCACCTCACCCAGCCTGTGGAGAGAGCCACCATCATTGCCTCTGCCCTGACATATTTCTGTGAGAGCAACACCTTCCCCCTTCCCCCCCTTAGGAAAAAGTATCTACGGGGACCGCTTCCCCGACGAGAACTTCAAGCTGAAGCACTATGGCCCTGGCTGGGTGAGCATGGCCAACGCCGGCAAGGACACCAACGGTTCCCAGTTCTTCATCACCACAGTGAAGACACCGTGGCTGGACGGCAAGCACGTGGTGTTTGGCAAAGTGCTGGAGGGCATGGTAAGGGGGTGATCGGTTCCCAGGGCGGGGAGCGGGACCAGGCAGATGCTGCCTGAGGGCAGAGGGCTGGGAGGTGGCTCTGCCCGTGCCCAGCTCTCGCACCTCTGCTTTCCCCAGGACGTGGTGAGGAAGGTGGAGAACACGAAGACAGACAGCCGGGACAAGCCCCTGAAGGACGTCGTCATCGCCGACTGCGGCACCATCGAGGTGGAGAAGCCGTTCGCCATCGCCAAAGAGTAACCGCACCCTCCCGGCCCCGCGGCGCGGCGCGGGGGAGCCGGTGGCACAGGGCTGCGGGCCGGGGGCTGCCCCACTCCCCCGCCGTGCCTCTCCCTGTCATCCCGGGGCAGGGGAGCAGCAGCAGAGCTGCTCTGCCCCCCCTTCACCCGGCCGCCTCCCGGCCGGCCCGCAAGCAGGACGGGGCACCAGCTCCTCTGCCCGTCACTTTTGTAAGAAGCACATGCACCAATAAATGTGACCAATGTGGTTTTTTTTTAAAGAGTTGCCTCTCTTCTCCTCTCAGCGGGGTGCAAGCCACTTAGTAGCCCTCAACCCTCCGACCCTCTTCTTTTATCAGCCCAGGAGCGGTGCCGCAGTCGGCCCTGGCTTCGCTTTGCAGAATCACAGACCACAGCGATCTTTTGCCAATCCAGCCCAAGTGATTTATTGCACCGAAGCCCGGAGGAGGAGGTTCAGGGTCCCAAGGCTCTTACTGCGACCCCGAAACTTCAGGGCAGCAGGCAGAGCTCCTGCCCTCCCAACGAAGGCACTTGGGATGGCGGTGAGGGAGCGGCTCTGGCTCCCGCTGTACCCCCTTGGCGTCTCCTGCCCCATCCCAGCGGGGAGGAGGTATTTTTACTGCCACACTCCTTTCTGCTGCCCGACCGCCCACCACTGCGGCCCTGGGTGCTGGGTGGGGGTGCAGGGGCCGGGGGCTCGGGGCGCTGCCTGGCTCGGGGTGCAGCTCAAGGGGATGTAGAGGCCCAGCAACACGCCCCTGAGAACAGTGTTGGGGAGCAGGTCTGTGAGGAAAAGGGGGAGCCGGATCAGCTGTTTCTCTCCCAAGCCCCATTAAAGGAAAAAACACATTTTGGGGGCCCCAAAAGAGCCTTTTCCCTTGGAGGCCCTGGGGCCCTGCACCCCTGGTCCCTCCTCCTTACCGGTGCCCGGTGGCCGCATGTAGGGGTCGGTGCTGAAGCCGATGACGGGGCGCTGGGAGGGCGGGGGGCCGGTGCTGCCAGGCCAGAGGGGATGTCAGCGTTCACCCCGAGTGCCCCGGGCCGGTCCCCATCGTCCCCAACCCCACACCCCGGGGTGCTTAACGGGTGAGGGGATGATCCCGGCACCGGGTGGGATAAACTGGGTGCTGGCAGAGCCCGGCTACTCACGGGGGGCTGCCGGCTTTGGGGTCCTGCTGGCCGCGCCGCACCTTCAAGAAGTCCAAGACGTCCTGGGGCAGCTCCTCGTTGTGGTACAGAACACCCTGCCGTGCACCCAGGGCGGGGAGGGAGGGAGTCAGCACCCCCCAAAAAAAAAAAAAAAAAAAAAAAAAATACAAAACAAACCCCCAAACTGCCTCCTCAAAGCCAGCACCTCACCTGGATGTAAAGCTCCAGGCCCTGCCGGCGCTGCTCCAGCACTTTGGGCATCCAGTTGGGGACACGGCGGGGGGGGAAGTCGGGGACCTTGCAGGTCTTCTTGATCTAGGGTAGAGTGAGGGGACACACACACACACACACACACACACACACACACACACACACACGCACGTCTTTTGGCAGGCTGGAGCATGGGAGGAGGAGGCTGGTGCTCCCTGTCCCTGGGAGCTGGGGTGTCCCCTCCCCGCGGTGCCGGGGGGTCTCACCCGCTTGTGCAGCGCCTGGAACTCGCTGTAGCGCTTCGCCACCGTGTGCCGCCGGCCATTGCACAGCACCTCCACCCGGAACACCTGCGGCCCCCGGCCTCGGCCCCGTCAGCATCATCCTCCCGGGGGGAGGCAGAGGCTGCCAGCTCACCCCCACACACCCCCAGGGACCTCTGCCCCTCCACCACCACCCCCCCCCCCCCCCCCCCCCCCCCCCAAATCCCTCCCCGCCCTCCGCGGGCAGGCAGGGGACACCCCACCACCAACCCCACTGGGGCAGCGGCCCTGCTTGCAAGGGTAGAGGGTCTCCAGGTGGGAGGGGGGTGTTGAGGGGAGGCGGGGGGGCTGTTGAGGGGTGGAGGGGTGGTATGCCACACTATTCTCCCTCTCTAGGTGTTGTGTGGGAGCACACAGAGCCCCCTCCCCAACCTCTGGGGCAGGTTGGACACCATGGGGATGACAAGGACATCCCACCACACCACACCCCCCCCGCCCAAAGCCTCCTGGGGACAGAGGGGACCCCCCCCCCCCAGCCAGGGACACCCCTCTCATGCCCCTTTCAAGGTTAGATGGTCATTGTCCCCACACACCCCACCAGACCCCCCCCTGTTCCCCCCCCCCAGGGGACCTCCGCTCCTGGGACATGTGGGGGGACATCGAGGGAGGGGGAGTTTGGGGGAGGGGAGGGGGGGGAGGGGGAAGACTTGGAGACATCCCACCCCACCCCCCGGCGCAGAGGGACACACACCACACACACAACCGTGGGGCATGTGGGGGTACCTAGGGACCCTACTCCTTAGGGCCAGAGGAGACCTCCCCCCCCCCCCCTCCCCCCCTCCCCCCTACCCCACCACCACCCCCCCGAGTGAGACAGGGACCTCCACCGCCTGGGGAAGGGGGGGACACACACACACATTCCTCCACACACCCCCGGGAGCAGATGGGACCCCAGGGGCAGACATAGACTCTCCCCACCTGCCAGGGTTTAGGGGACCCTCCTCCCTCCCAATCCCAACTTCCCCCCCCCCATCCCCCCAAAACCAAGGACCCCCCACCTTTCAAAGTTTCCCAGGCAGGGGCCTCCAACCTCCAGGGCAGGGGAGGAGAAACCCCGGGGCAGACAGGGATCCCCAACCCACCGGTGCCAGAGGGACACCCAGCCCCCAAGCACACCCCCCCCACCCCCCCACCCCCACCCCCCCTTTCAAAATGTAGCGGGGCTGTCCCCGCCGGCGGGGACCCCTGGGGACAGGCAGGAACCGTCATCCCCCAGTTGGTGGCAGCTTGGGGCAGACGGAAACCCCTCTATCCCTCCGGGTCCAGAGGGGACATTCCCCCCCCCCCCCAGGGTAGAAGAACACCCCCACTTTCAAGGACCCCGGCAGGGACCCCCTCAGGGCCGGCGATCTCCAAGCCCTGGGGTCTCCCGGGGACACTTGGGGACCTCCAACCCCTCGGGCAGATGGCGATAAACTCCCCGGGCTGATGGGACCCCCGGGACACAGGGGGCAGGCAGAGCCCCCCAACCCCTGGGGTAAGTTGAGGCACCCCCCGAGCCGGCAGGGACACTGGGGGGGGGGGGGGGGGGCAGCCAGGGACCTCCAAACCCCTTGGGAAAAGTGGGACCACCCCCCACCACCACCACCGCGGGGATCGCTGTGCCCCAGGGGAGATGGGGCCACCCTCGGAGCAGGCAGGGACCCTTGGGGACAGCCGGGGGCCCCCACCCCAGGGCAAGAGGGATCCCCCCCCCCCCCCGAAACACACCCCCAGCCCCCCCGAGGGAGCCCCTCACCGTGTGCGCCTTGTCGGGGCTGCCCGCCGCTGCCTGGGGCTCCGCCGCGGGGATAGAGACGGCGATCATGGCCCGGGGGGGAGCGGGGGGGGGAACCGGAGGGGGGTGGGGGGGGGGGGGGGAAGCGGGGTTTTGAGCCGCCGGAACCTCCCGCAGGCTCCGCTAAGGGCTGCAGGACCCGGGGCAGCCCCACTCCGGGCCACCCACTGCCCCTCGGCACCCACCGGGGTGGGTGACACCGGGGACCCCGAAACCAGCCCAGGAGCACCCCAAGAAAGGGTCCTGCAGGGCCAAGACCCAAATCCAGCACGCCGGAGGGGGGGGGGGAGACTGGAGGTACCACAGGGGCTCAGTTCTCCAGGGACAAGGGGAAAGGAAAGTGGGAAGTCAGCACAAGCTGCCTTTTCCTTTTTTTAAGGCAGAAGAAGGGGTATCGGTTTTGATGAAATCCACAGCTCGGGTCACAGCAGGGTTGGAACATGGGCAGGGGGGAAGGAGCATCACGCCCCCCGAAGGCTCCACGGTGGCTTTTTGGGGCCCAGTTCCCCCAGTGAACCCCACAAGGGTGCCGCGATCCAGCCCCGCTGAGCTCAGATCCTAAAAACAGCTCCTGCTCAGAGCAAGGCCGAAAGCCAAAGCGTAATCAGGAGCCCGGACAGGTGGCTGGGGCCAAGCCCAAGGTCACCCCCCCGTCCCTGTCACAAGGCAGGAGCCTCCCCCCACCACCCACGGCAGCCGCAGGATGCGGCCGTTACCCCTCCCCACCCCAGCCCAGAAACAGACAGAGGCTGTTGGCCCTGATAGAAGTTTTATTACAGAATTTTAATGGCACTGCAGGAGTAAGATAGTGATTAGAGCCCTAAAGCCCAGCCTGAAAAATATACATTTTACATATATCGTTAACCCCCTGCTGCAGGTCTGGTCTTAAAGCAGGAAACTAGTCTCTCTTCAGTAAGAAAATATATGTTGCTAAATGAAAAATATACAGTTAGAAGAGTTACTGGCTTGCAATTGCTTGTCTGGGGGTTAAACCTCTACCAGCTCCAGAGTGTTTAACTAGGGTTTGTTCACGTGTAAAAGAGGAAGAGGTATAGTGTATATATATAAAAAAAAACCAAACCAAAACAAAACAAAAAAACGAAAAAAAAAAAAAGGCAAAGTTCAGGTACAGTCGTTTGCTCAGTCCAGTTAAGAAATGGCCTTGGCTTCAGGCAGGAACGCTTCCCAGTACTTCACCAACTGCGGAGAGGAGAGAGGGACAGTCAGGAGCCTGCGGGCACTTTGCCTGCACAGTTCAAGCCCAGAGTGAACTGAGAAGCATTTTGTGTGCAGAAATCCCTCCCACAGGGTGCAGCCCCCCCCCTTAAAAAGGCAGCAAGGGGGATGCAGGGCTTATCTTCTGCCCTGCTGCAGCCCCTGGGGGTTCGGGCCTCCCCACACAGGGGCCCACGAGCTCGCAGCGCTGAGCTTCGAGAGGTAAAAGCGCGGCAGGCACGGGGGCTACTCACCTGTTGCTGAGAGTTTAGTAACGTCTCAAGGTATTTAGTGACATGGTTTCTGAAGTCCTTGGATTTCTCTTTCTGCAAGAGATGGGCGCAGGAGTCAGTACAAGGCTGAACGAACCACCGAAACCCTCTGGCTTTTGAGGGGCGGGGAGGGAAGGGAGGAGAAACCACCAGGATTTTCCTGTTCCTCTTGGGGCCCCGTGAAGAGACCAACACACGAGCCTGAGATGCTGAGGACGAAGCTCACCTCCAGCCCTGGTGGCTCAGAGGATCTTTGCCCACCCCCCTTCATCCTAACAGATACACTTCTCTACGCAGAAGCGCCCTCTTTGCCAAGAGGGATCGGCGATGCCCCGACTCGCACGTGTCCAGATTTACAAATATTGCCAGCTGCCGTGCTGGGAGCGGGGTCAGCAGCCGAGGTGACCCTTGGCTAGCCCAGGCTGGGTGTTCCCAGCCAAGGCACGTCAAGACCAACCGGCTGGAGGGCTGCACGCCAAGGGCCGGGCCAAACGTACCTCAAACCGTATCACTTCCTTGCGGATGACAGCAGAAATCCGTTCAAAGTCCCTTTCGTACTGTGTCACACGAGACTCCCACTGCGGAGAGAGGAAGCGTGCTGTTTCCAGGGGAGGGGCTCTCGCTCCCCTCTCCAAGCAGTTTTGTAGCCACCACTGTTCGTGTGAGAAGCAAAGCCCGGCACTTCTGGTCCCTGCCGCCACGGCGAGCTGCATCCCCCGCTTGCTGCAAGCTCAGCAAGGAAGCCACGGGAAGCGGGACCGCGAGCAGCCTCTCCTGCGGCTTCTGTGGCTTCCCGCGGGGCTTGCTCAAGGCTGGCTTATCCTTTGATGCAAGCTTTGCAATCAATACCTGTCCCTTCAGCTCAGAAGACGCCCTTCTCAAGTCCCCTTCTTACTGCTCAGCGGCAGAGCACAGAGGGAAGGAGCCGAGCAGAGACCCCGGCACTCCTCATTCCCTACCTCCGAAATCTCCTCTTTGGCCTGCTGCAGCTTGTCGGGTTTGTTGGCCCAGAGCAGCCTGGCCTCCATCTCCCTCTTCTTCTGCAGCATGGTCTGGGCGTCCTGCCACCGCTGCCAGGTCTTCATGCGCTGGTCGAAAGCTCCCTGAAAGGAAGGGGGCAGAGGCTGAGCTCCCTGAAAGGAAGGGGGCAGAGGCTGAGCTCCCTGAAAGGAAGGGGGCAGAGGCTGAGCTCCCTGAAAGGAAGGGGGCAGAGGCTGAGCTCCCTGAAAGGAAGGGGGCAGAGGCTGAGCGCTGCTCTGCCGCCACACCAGGAGCACCGGGCAGCCGCAGGGAGCTCTGCTGACAGCGACGACCACGCCTTCGGCACGGGGAGGAGGTGGGGGGCACGGGCTAATGGCAGAGCTGCTTCGTCAGTGAGGTCCTGGACCCATCTCAGCTGAGCCAGGACGTGGCCTGCTCTGCTAGCAGAGGAGTCAACCCACTGAGCTGGCAGCATCCCAAGCACGACATCCAGCCCAGCCCCACGCCGGCCGCTGGCCCAGTTCAGCCCCGCCGCCCAGAGCGGGCAGGGCAAGGAGCTGCCGTTGCCCACCCCACCCTGGACCTCCAGCAGCAGCTCACGGGCACCCGCCGGGAGGCCGGATGATTTTAGCAGGCCTGCAAATCACCAGCCCAAGCAAGGAAGACTCCACGAGGTTTCTGAACGCGTCCAGCCAGACAGTGGGGAAGAGCTAGAAAAGCAGAAAGCTGTGTCTGATAGCCTGGTCAGAAGGACAGAGCAGCCAAGAGACAGGGAAAGTCCGAGGCGACACCAGGGCTCCTTACCACAACATCCCAGTGAAGTCTTATTACCTCCTGCACTTTCAGAGACCTTGGTCCTGCTCTGGAGCACCCACCACACCTCCCAGTACAGACTGGCAGACCCAGGCGGCTTGTGCCTACCCATTAGGCTGCATTCTGGCCTCTGCAGCCTCCAGAAACAACTGCTCAGAGGCAGGACACATTTAGGGCAGGAAGGAGCCAGCCTGCCAGACTTGCACCTCACTTTGTTTCTTTGGGCCTCCAGCAAGGAGGCACCAGGCAGGCTGCACGGAGTTGAAGACTCGAGCTCTTCCCCAGCAGGCGCCCAACAGATCTATTTGCAACACCCAGATCACAGGTTATCAGCTCACAGCCGCTGCAGCGGCCGCAGCCTTCACCTCCGGAAGGGTTGAGGCCACCTGCAAGCCGTGAACTTGCTCCACATTCCCCCTGGAGGACAGCAGCACAGCCAGGCCTCACCCACCCCACTTTTCCAATCTAGCCACTCCAAGATGTGCACAACTGGACAAGCAGCAGGTTTGCCCTCTGCTTGGAGAGGTCAGAGGCATGCCATGCCCCGTGCTTGAAATTCAGAAGGCCAAGCTGCCTCCTTGCACACCTAAGCCTAAGATTGGTACTTGGAGCAGCAGCATAGCCTAGAGCTTGCCCCAAAAGAGTGCTTACCCTTACAACTGAGAGGAGGCGGATGTAGTCTCCCAGGAGCTCGGCCAGGAGGAAGAAGTCATTGTTAGCTTGTTCCTGGTGCAGCTGTTCAATCTTCTCTTCCACCTCAGCCAGCTGGGACAGTGCCCGGGACAGGGCCGTGTTGTCCTCCGAGCTCCCCAGCATGGCCAGGCTCTTTGCAAACTGGGCTGTATTCAACGCTAGCTCTAGTGAATGGAATAAAAGAGTCAACCAACGGGCCTCGCTACACCGGGCGCTCTGCAAGCAAAGCCACAGCCTAGAGTTCAGCCCAAGAAGCTGCTTTTCTGTAGCCCCGGGAGACATCAGACTGTCCGGGTCAGAGCTGGCAGCTCCCGCAGCACGGCGGGAGGGCTAGGCAGCTCCAGCCAGGGAGAGGGGAAGCAGCAGAGTGGGAGGACAGGCACAGCTTTGCAGAAGTCAGCCAAAACATGCAGAGGAAGAAAACCAGCCCTGCTCCCTGCCGCAGCACAGCTCAGAGTTGGGAACAAGGTCAGCTCTGCCGAGGTTTGCTGCGGCAGCCTTCATCCAGCAGGATGCTGGTTCACTTCAGTATCGTCACCTTACGCTTGTAGGGCCTGACAGAAGAGGTGAGATTACCCTTTTACTTCTGTCTCCCACGGTGAAGAGACAGGGTCCTTTACAGTAAGGAAGCAGTGTCGTATCTTCTGAGAAGTGCCTCCTAGGACACCCGTGCACCGGTGACCTCGCCAGGCACCGCACAAGGCTTAAACGTTACGGGCCAAGCTACAGAGCAAGCGGTTCCGAGCTTGTTACCTTTCCTGTGGGTCACTAGCGTTTCGACGACAGCGTGCAACTTCCGCAGCCGCTGGTCCTCGCACTCCACCTCCTGCAGCTTCTCCTCGAACCACTGAAAAGGGTAAAGCCAGAGCTGATTCCCACAGGTGGCATCGCTGCGGAGCTTTCCTGGCACCTCGCGCCCAAAGCTTGAGCTGGGGGGAGCACGCAGCTCCGGAGCGAGGACGAGGAGAGCCCAGAAGTGCTCACGATACTTACAATGTCCGATTCATTCATCTTGATGGTCATTTTACTGACAGCATCTGTAGCTTTGTTGAACATC